CCAACTTGGGGCCAACAGACGCCAACATAGGCCCAACATAGGCCCAACATAGGCCCAACCCAGGCCAACATAGGCCAACATAGGCCTAACATAGGCCAACATAGGCCCAACATAGGCTCAACATGGGCCCACGATGTGCCCAACATACACCACATGGGCCCCACGTGGCCCAACCTAGGGCCAAGATGCGCACCAGATAGCTCAACTTTGCTCAATATAGGCCCCACCAAGGCCAACATAGGCGTGACATACGCCCCACACACCCAAGTGGGCCGGCGCCCGGCTGTTAGGCGTAAGCCTTGAAATCCGGGCGCCGGCCACGCGCCCGTGTCCTTGCCGGAGGCCTTCGGTGGTAACCGAAGGTTATATACGCTCGCCGCCCCTGCCGCCGACCCTTTTGTTAGACCGCGGGGATACCTCCGACCGACCCCCGCCCGAATCCGGTCGACAGATTTTTATGTCATGTATATTTTATCTACTAGCATGATTGCGCATGATGTGGAAAACATCGCTTTTTACAGTGTTTCGTGGCCTTCGGCGGAGACGACTTGCGCCTAACAGGGCGCCGGTGGTGTCGGTTATGCGTGCCGCGCGGACAGGCTTAATCGACATTTCGTGGGTGTTGGGCACAGAAGTTGCCTAACATATCCCTAACATGGGCTCAAGATAGCCAACATATCCCCAACATAGCCTCCAAGATGGCTCAACATCGGGCCAACATAGGCCAACATGGGGCCAACATACGCCAACATAGGCCCAACATAGGCCCAACCTTGGCCAACATAGGCCTAACATAGGCCGACCTAATCCCAACATAGGCTCAACTTGGGCCCAAGATGCGCCCAACATAGACCACATGGGCTCAACTTGGCCCAACCTAGGACCAAGATGCGCGCCAGATAGCTTAACTTTGCTCAATATAGGCCCCACCAAGTCTCAAAGAGAGAGAGAGAGAGAGAGAGAGAAAGAGAAAGAGAAAGAGAAAGAGAAAGAGAGAGAGAGAGAGGAGCCAGCCCTGCACATACCCATACCCAAACCCAAATAGGCCGGCGCCCGGCTGTCAGGCGTAAGCCTCATAAATCCTACTGCGGATGGGTAACTTGGAGTCTGTCCCTGGGACCGATGCTGAAGTAGGTTAAGAACCAAGGACCAAGGCTCGAAATCCTGTCCTGTTCGAAATGTTTTCCAGGAACATGTCTTAACCTTTGAACTTGAGTGCCATGCTGAGCAGGACCCCTCAGAAAATAAGAGGGCTCAGTATGGCGGTCCGCACAGTAGCACGCCAATGGTAGACACATTTTGTGCAAAGCTGCTTAAAAGGCACGCCCAAAGCGGATGGTTCTGCATTTCGCGCGCTCGACGCGCACGATCTCCGCAGAGGGTTGCGCGGGCACCGGACAAATCGCACTCTCGCTTGCATTTCGCGCACTCGACACGCACGATCTCCGCAGAGGG